CAGGTAAGGATAGTCCTAATATATAAACAAAGTAAAGGTAAGGATAGTCCTAATATATAAACAAACAGTACTTGCAGGTAAGGATAGTCCTATCGTATACACAAACGATGCTTGAAGGTAAAGGTAAGGATAGTCCTAATATATAATCAAACAGTGCTTGCAAGTAGGTATGAAACAACAGGTCATTGCACCGAGAGGGTAAAGCAGGAGCAGATGAAAAGCATACCAGTACAGACACCCAGTCCGATGCAGAGCACAAACGTTTGCCCAAAGTAGATTGTGGTTTGGAAGAACCCCGTCATTCTGAAGTACACAGTATGAGCAAAGGAAAGACATGATAGGGATATAAAGGTTACGTTTGTGTTGATGCAAGTGATTATGTATGTATTCATATACGTATGTATGCATGTATGTATGTGTATATGAATGCATATATGTATATACGTATTCGTGGGGAGAAAAGAGACGGAGGCGAGTACAGCTGACGTATAGAAAGCTGATTGTATTGTAAATCCGTATAAAGGCGAGATAAAGAGGTTGAGAATGTATGTTCACGTACACGTGTGTGCGAGCAATACCGCACTATGTCAACGAATGGGGTGTCGTCTACCGGGAGTATGTGAATCATATCACATACTGTAATATCATACTGCATACTTTGTTATCATACGATATATTTTGATATCATACTACACACTTTGTTTATCACACAACATACTTTGTTTTAAACACGAAGTAGTAGACGGCATAGCCAAAGACGTACAACCCCGTCGAGGCACCAGCGCAGAAACTAGGCCACCACCTACGAACAAAGTGAAGTGAAGAACAACAAGTAAAGTCAAGAACAGGTGAAGTAAAGACAAGTGAAGTCAACAACAGGTGAAGTAAAGAAGAAGCCATTCACCAGAAGCAGAGATATGCATGTTAGACAGTAAACAAGTGAAGAAGAAACAGTGAAGTAAATAAAAAGCCATTAACCACAAGCAGAAATATGCATGGTAGGCAGTAAACAAGTGAAGAAAGTGAAGAAGAAACAGTGAAGTCAAGAAGAAGCCATTAACCACAAGCAGAGATATGCATGGTAGACAGTAAACAAGTGAAGAAAGTGAAGAAGAAACAGTTAACTACAAGCAGACATATACATGGTAGACAGTACACAAGTGAAGAAGAAACAGTGAAGTCAAGAAGAAGCCATTAACCACAAGCAGAGATATGCATGGTAGACAGTAAACAAGTGAAGAAAGTGAAGAAGAAACATTTAACAACAAGCAGAGATATGCATGGTAGACAGTAAACAAGTGAAGAAGAAACAGTTAACCACAAGCAGAGATATGCATGGTAGACAGTAAACAAAGTGTCCATAGAGAAACTCGGGGCGTCCGTCGTTTGCACTGTCGTGGCTAACGCCCACGTACACCACTCGAGCAGTAGCTCTGGAGCCTTAGTTACTTTCCACTACGCACACATGCGAACGGAAATACCGAATGGGTACAATACCGCTTTGGTGTATTTATAGGTGTAGGTAAATATGTGTCCATATATGGCTAGGCACTCACACGGGTACATAAAACGCGCCGCTGTCAGTGTAGTTCAGGTACATTCATTAACAATGTCATTTAAATATTAAATAAGGTCTATTATTCACAAACAATGCCATTTATACATGGAGGTCTATGTATATACGCTTAGATCAACCTAAACACTCACACTTCCAGTATCAATAGAAATAACCAACTTTTGTGTACGTAACATAGCCAACACAACCAACCCAGCACGGCATATGTACAGCATAGTGCAACCGCTTCATTATTTCAATACAAACATCAATACATTGATATGAGTATGATAGGATGGGAATGCATACTACGTCGACGAAAACATTATCTGGTACGAGAGTGCAAGCTGCCTGCAGCGTACACGCGTGTGTTGCACATCCATTTGTAAGCATTTGTAAGCATTTGATATATATATATATAGTGCGTTGTACATCCGTTTGGAAACATGTGATAAATTAACACAGACCAACACTCACACGTACACCCAGCCGCACCTACCAGCGATAGTCCTCCGAGTTGAGCAAAAAGTATATGCACACAATGTTAACGCAGATCGTCACCACGGTCAGGATGCAGAAGACCAACAGCATGAAGCCGTAAACGTAATAGATCTTATACGCCCAGAAGGAGGTGAAGACAAAGTACATCTCGATGAAGATAGAGCCAAAGGGCAGGACACCACCGATCAGGGAGATGACCACTGGATCCATGTACCACTGAGAGGTAGGCAAGGGGTAGGTAAAACAGGCAGGCAGGGGACAGTAAGGGGTGGTTAGCCGTAGCTGTAGCTTAGTAGTACTGGGGGTGTGTATGAGAGCCTCGGTATATCCATATATTTCAGCCGAGTGCATATCCATACGAACGGAATGGCACCGCCGAACATTGGTGTCACCAGTGTACCTATGTGGCTCAGTGAGCTGTGAGGGTGACTGGTCAACGGTATGGGCTACATACACGTATGTGGTGTGTCACACATAACACATACGGTTTAGGGTTATAATAAAACTATACTGCGGTTAAAATAACAATAACACTTCAACGGTATAGAGCAGTATAGCTGATGACTCGATTTGAACGTACCAGTGCCCCGCGAACGTACATGTGAGTCGTAGAAACGGGTCTGGATACCGAACTTCCTCTGCACCAACCCCACCGAAAACGTGAAAACAGACTATATGTTTATATACAAACAAGTATGTACACAAATGTAAAGACGAACCCCGACACAAAACGTGAAAACAAATTATATATATATACAAGAATGTGCACACATGAGATTATATATATGTAAGTATGTACACAAATTTAATGATGAAACCCAATTCGGCTGCAATGTACAAACATACGCACACGATTCTCAGAAATAGGCATGGGTGCAAAAACCACACCACACCAACATCACACCAACTCAAATACAAAGTATATTGCAATACAATTCAACTATGTCCAAACACTCTTCACACCACACCATCTCGCACACAAAGTATATTACAATACAATTCAACTATGTCCAAACACTCATCACACCATACCAACTCTTAACACAAAGTATATTGCAATTCAATCCAACTATGTCCAAACACTCAACAAACGCACCTGGTTCTCCGGAATGGGCCTGGGCACAGGGTTTACTCGACAGGGCCACCCAATGACACCCGTGGTATTACGCCCCAGAATAGCACCACCCAACGTCAGAGGCAGAATCATGAATATGACAATGGCACAGATTTTCACCTGCAGCGGATAAGAGGCTGTTAACACAGGCACATGCGGGTGTGAATCGGAAGTCTTGACAACTCGGCTACTGTGCGTAAGAGAGGGACTGTATAGTACGTGTGAGATTGGGAAGATGGGACGCACACGTTGGCTCTGGAAAGATATTTACGGCGTATATACATGTACACACACATATATTTATACATATAAATGCTTATATGTATATGTATATATATAGTACACACACATATATATATAAATGTAAATACATACATAAAGATATATATTTATATTTGGACGTATGCAAGTATGTATTTGTAAAATATAGCTCACGTAAACGTGAACTCAGACATAAACCTACACAGTAGCATGTGATAGCACCATGAAACATCCCTCCAAATACGTGAGTGCAATGTACAGCCTGTGCCTTATACATACACACGTACTCTTCAACAACATACAGCGCACACGGGCATATGCACTATACAGTACACGTATACGCTTAAACGCTAAACAAAGCACCATACGACGATCCTACTCACCACAGTGCCAGCGGGGATGGCTCGGGATGAGTTGTATGTGATGGCGACAAAGTTGATGTACAAGTTAACGGCACACACAACACCCGGGAAGAAGCACGTCTGCACTAGCATCTGTCTGATCCAGCTTTGGCCTGAATGTGAAGCAGCGAGAGGTATATAGCGGATAGGCAGCGATGAGATAAAAATGAATACATATATATATATATCCATACATACATATACATCGGAATATTCAACCGGTACTAGGTATGGTATGAAGTTTCTCTCTTTTTCCTACGGCGATTGATGCATATCTCAAGACGAGGACACGCATCCTGTTCGTGGGCGGTTTTAAAGTTTTTAGCCAAAACCCTTAAACCCCCCAAAATACCCAGAACCCTTGATAATACTTATGTTGACGACTGCGCCAGATACTCGTACTGTTACCAAAGCATATCATTCTGTACTGAACTCATCTTATTTGCGTCCGAAGACAGCCACAGCAACGCTATAAACATCACTCCGATACAAAAAGTAACGTAGACAGCCACAGCAACGCTATAAACATCACTCCGATACAAAAAGTAACGTAGACAGCCACAGCAACGCTATAAACATCACTCCGATACAAAAAGTAACGTAGACAGCCACAGCAACGCTATAAACATCACTCCGATACAAAAAGTAACGTAGACAGCCACAGCAACGCTATAAACATCACTCCGATACAAAAAGTATCATAGACAGCCACAGCAACGCTATAAACCTGTCTCCAATACAAACACTAAAACTATAGGGAAGGGGTGGGCTGGTCAGTGGGATAGTGTATAGGTATGAATACAGGTACACATACCTCCTATATAGGTATGAGTATAGGTACACATACCTCTGAGTATAGGTATACAGGTATGAGTATATAAGTATAGGTATGCGTATGGTTATAGGTATACATACCTCTGAGTATAGGTATATAGGTATGAGTGTAAGTATAGGTATGGGTATGGTTATAGGTATACATACCTCCGAACTGCAGGTACAAAGCGCCGCCAATGAATCCGCCTACGACCGAAGTACCCGCAAAGATGAAGATGATTGTGGACAAGGTCTGGCCACGCCTGTGAGGAAGTACACGTGTGTTAGCAAGTGCACCTGTGATGTGAAGCAGTGGATAGAAGTATGCCCTCGACAGACGTCTCATGAGACAATATAAATATACATGTACTTATATATATATATATATATATATATATATACATGTACTTATATATATATATATATA